TTTAGCTTTTTTTTCTGTAATTATACCCGAAGAAGGAGCTTTATAGCTCCAGAAGTTGAAACTTTTGAATATATTTAGTTGGCCTTAAATACTTTTTGCCTTCTCTACTTGTTATTATACAGCAAGTGTGTTCCATTTCTGTGTTCGTATTACACTACACAGACAGAATCTCTCACCTGTCCATCCGCTGCGGTTCTCTTTGCTGACATCAGCCCCACGATTGAGCAAAACTCTGGCACATTCCAGGTGCCCTAATGTTGTAGCTAGATGAAGGGGGGTCCGTCCCCGGGGGTCCACCTGTTCAACCTGGTCCTGTAAAATATATAAAAAATCATAAACGACAATAAAAAATACATTTTAAAATTATTCCTGAAGTTGTATATGATATATGACACTAAAAAGGAGATTATTGCATTTACCGAAACAGCCTAGGGAGCTCAGAAGATGGGCCCCAATTGCTTTTATTTACTATTCATATGCCGGTACTAGTGGCCACCAGTGATGAACCCAATCAGTTCCAGCAGTAGCACAGGGACATTCCCTGCTCTTTTGTAATGCTTAGCAGGGAATGCACCATGATTTGGTCAGGTGGGGGGTGTCAGTCAAAGTTGTAAGCTGGGCTTGAGTGAACTCTGGGGAACTGGGCTCACACCATGCCATCATCATGCTGACATAATGCCACCATGATCATGGCTAGTGGCAAGTACTCTCTCCCGTGACTTCTTCTCCCCTTGCTGCTTATAACAACTTGTTGCATGAGCCCCCTAAATTCTGAGGTCAGGAACAGTGTTGACAGGCTTTTGTCCACATCAAAACTGCTTCTCTTCTTATTCTATGCTATGGGAATTCAAACACATCTCTAAAGTGTCTCAAACTGCAGCCTAAAACCCGCCAACACTGGCCTTTAACGTTCCTTTCTCTCTGTGCATTTCTGTCAGTTCAGGGTGACAATACATTAGTAGATTTTTTTTGTTCAGCCTGGGGGTGGAACAAAAAAAATCTAACAGATTCCTCCATCCACAAATCTCCCGCTGCAGCTATTGCATTCTGACAGCCACCCACCGCTGTCAGAATGCATGAACAATGATTGTAGCTCAAAATTCTCCTTTGGCAAAAGTCAATTACTTACTCAACTTTTGTCAAGCCAGCAGGCAATTCATCTGTGACCAGTGTATGGTCAGCCTTAGACTGACTTAAATCAATATAAATAATTCACTATGTGATTATTTAATCTTTCTACGGATCTTTCTACTTCCCTGACATACACAAAATGATTAGCAGTGGAAAGTTGCAAAATGTAAATGAAGATGTCATTAGGTGAGGTGGGAACCTTGTCCTATACCAACTATAGAAAGATCTGCCTAAGAATAGATTCTCACCTTTCCTGGCTGGAAGATATGCCCAGTGCTGCATGAATAAACAACATTTTTGAGATGAAGAAATAGGTTATCTTAGCTTCTTTATTAAAAGAATGTGTAATGCTCTATATCTAGAAAACGGCAAGTGTACTGTATGATGTCGTTCTAATAATGTTTAGCCTTACCCTAGACAATCACTGACTCCTTTCGGCCGGAGGTCTGACAGCTCTGAGCTCTGGCCGAAAGGAAAGATTAGGAAGGTCTGCACCAGACCTTACTAATCAACCACTAGATCACCAGGGATTGTGCAGGTGATGGGGTTTTTTATTTTATCTGCAGGGGACGAGGGAGGGGGGAGTGTATTTTGTGTGCGTGTGCTTTATTTTATCTACAGGGGACGAGGCGGGTGTATTGTTCTGTATGTGTGTGTTTAATTTTATCTGCGGGGGATGAGACGGGTGTATTATTCTGTGTGTGTGTGTTTAATTTTATCTGCGGGGGAGGAGGAGAAAATGAGGGGGTTGTATTATTCTGTGTGTGTGTGGGGGGGATGTATTTCTCTATGTGTGTGCATGTATAAGGCCGCATTAACACCTGTAAGTTTAGGAGGGATTAGGGATTTCTGCGTCAGAAATTTGCGTTTTCCTGCAGCAGGAATCCCTGATCTGGTGTTTACAAGCGGCAGCTGTCACCCAATCAAGTTAATGATCAGTTGACAGACACTGCATGCAAACGCCTGTAATGGTATGTGATAGAATAACATGCACTTAGGGATCAATCACTATCCCTAGTGCATAGTGATTGTTTTCTAACGGCATGTAATCATATCATATAAAATAATATATGCTGTAGCTCAAGCAGTGTGTTGGAAATTAGTAAAATAAGAATTACACCCAGACACAGATGAGACAGTATATATGTCTCCTGTGATCCACTCTCTATGCCTGCCCCCTCATCACCACATCCTCCCTTCCTGCAAATACCACTCACATGAAATGGGAAACAAGTTAATTTTTCATTAGATTCACTTGCTAAGAGCACAGAGCAGTCATGCATACAAGGATAAAGAAATATACCAAAGGAAAAGCAGAGGACCACATATTCAGGAGGAAAGTGAGCAGGGAGGTAGAGGATAAAACAAACTGAGTGAGCGAGGGGAGTACAATAAGCCTTCTTGGTGCTCTGGGACACAAAACAGCTGCTTTGCTGTTTGAAAACCCAGACAGTTTTACTGGCAGCAGAGGCTTTAAACCAGCGCTTACATTCTATATATGGCATTAAATATTTACCTTCTGAGTTAATCACAGATAGCTAATTGTATAACATTATAGACTGAGAAATATTTTCTACATGATACAGGAAATTATATTTTCTATGCTTTTGAGCTACCATTAAATATTTTAATAATATAAGTGGCACTATGACATCTGCCTAATCTGATTTTTGGATAAGAGCAACACAGATAGATCTCTGTTCTTGAACTCCTGGTACAGCATACCCGCTGTGACCATTATGAGCAGGCCCATATAAAATAGAACATTTATACAATGGGGAAGGTAACACGTGGGTGGGAACACCTAAAGCTACCAGGTGAAAGTTGAGAACTATGGCAGGGAGGTCGCACTGTTGGAGATCGACCCTGTAAAGCAGACCTTTAAAGTATTCAACACTGTATCACTCATACTTCCCTTTCAACAGAAGCTCAGCATTCTTACATGTTTTTATTTACTTTTTTTTACTTGGCACTGCCCCCTGCGGTTTCATTCTCCTCCTGCAGCCTCCAGATACCGAGATCACATATCCCAGGAGGCTGCAGAAGGAGACCCAATTTAGATTTTGCACATGTGCAGATAAAGATCTGGCACTAAGTCTATTTACATACGGTTCCATGAATGCAGGATAGTAAAACCTCCTATTATATGTGATGTCACATATCCCAAGAGGCTCTGTTGCCCTCTATTCATAGAACAATAGTAAATCGATCTGGCAGCATATCTGTGTCTGTGCATGTGCATGATCTGGTGCAACGTCAATGGTGGCCAGCTGAAGAAGCAGGAAGAGAAAGCCAGAATGTCACCATGCAAGATGGCGGGCAGAACATGACCTGTGGGAGGAAAGTGGAGTGAGAGGAGAAGACCACGCTTGATCCATTTGGCTTGTTAGCATGTGATTTCAGCATAAAAGAGCACCAAAGGTAAGTGGGGGGCTGGTTTAGTGAAGTTCCTCTTTAAATATACATAGGAGAACCTCTGTATTACAGGAACAATCATTTCCATAGTGTCACAATGTCATGGCTCATTTTTAAGTTCAAGCAAATAGCAATGAAATGCAACACATCCTATTTATCTTTTCTATTTAGCTCAGTTCACTAATCAAAACAACACATGGCAGGTACATATTTTACTGAAGCCAGCTCATATTTACTACTGAAGCAAGATTCCTTGGCTGTGGCAAGATTGCAGCAAAGCTGGACCTGCATACTAGGGATCGACTGATATCAGATCTACAGATAATCGGGGTCAATATTCCTAAGTTTTTAAACTATCGGTATCGGTTATATTTTCTCGAAACGTACAGCGTTATCCGTCCTTCAGAGGTGAATATAAGAAATCAGACGTTAAGATCAAGATTTGACAAGTGCTATTAAAGAATATAAAATGTATCAAACATTCAGTGAAGGGGTGTATCTCAAAATACTCAATGTGAATGGTTGTGTAAACAATTTAAAGTCTATACAATATCAAATCAGAATTTATCTAATAAAATGTGATAGGTTATGAATATATGTATCATGTGTGGGTGATTCTTGTTAATAAATAGTGAATGAACAAACAATGTATACCAATTAAATTAAATTAAATAAAATTAAACTTTTATCAATGTATGTGTGAATAGTCCAAATCTTTTGTAGTTTTTTCTAAAGTCTTTAATTATATCGGTATTGGTTACATTTACCGATATTACTGATAATAAACACTGTGCGAATTTCAGCCGGTTCTTGAGGAAGCGGTCGAGATTTGCACAGTGGGTGCTGCTGTCTGGCCGGCATCCCTTGATAATAAATCTAGGTAGAAACAGCAGATGGTATGGGGAATCAATAGCCAGCCTGCTATTGGCTATTGCAATAGCCAATAGCAGGCTGGCTATTGCATCCGCCCACTGCCTGCTATCAATCAGCAGAG